GGCTGTCACGTCCTTTTTGTAGAAATTGTGAGCGGCACTGTAGACGGATACCAAAGCTTGTGGCCGATGATCACATAAAGTGAAATTGGACTTCACGGATATCGAACGCGTATATAGCTAGAAAACGTGAAAATCATCTCTGTTTTGGCGCAGCCGAACCGTGAAGATTTATTGGTCATTATGAAAAAAAATCATTTCTCTTTGATGTTTGAACCAGGTATCTACCACGGAAGTATACAGTTGCTGACCATTGCTCCATTGCTGACTTCCTCTCCTTTTGACGGTGTTAGAAAAAATTAAGTAACGAAATTCAAACCAAGATTGCTCCCAGATGATAACTCTAAGTATGATTTGAACCAAAGAATGTAGGCTAATTTAGCATTTTGGTCCCAATTAATCCATGCCATGAGAGAAAACTTTGATAGTCTGACTGAAAAGCTAACGGCGACTTATTTTCAGGTTTTGATTTGAAAGAAAAATGCAATGAAATATGGTTGTAACGAAAATAAATCCATCAAACGAAAACAGCACAAATAGCAATCTAAATGGCAGCTATAAGAGTGCACAGTAATGTTTAGTACTAGAGTTTGGTTGATCTTCAATACTCTAAAAGTTGAGATCAAGTTCATTCTAACTTCCGAATTGTAAGCCTAGCAAAGAACAATAAGCGTCATAGCGGTGATTATGGTTTTGTTCAGAATATATTGGGTTGGTCCGAAAGTTTTGTCAGTTTTTCAACCCATCGGCAAACACGCTAGAATGAAGATAAACAAACGCTTTAAAATGTCTCCAATGCAGAATTTCTTCCTCTTTCCAGCTGCTAAACACTCCTTGTGTTTCGTTACGAGATTGACGAGATATTTGCTTGAAATTACAACCACTCGTTTTTACCATGTCCAACTTTCGCTAATTCTCAAAATATTTGTATGAGACTTTCGAAGGAGCCCTAACAACCAGTAGATAGGGCAAACTTTTTGCCAACTTACGCAATTTTTTTCTTTTTTTTTCTCAACTGCTTTTTAAGATTTTTGCTAAATAATTTTCTAGAAGTCTTGTGTTTTGGAAAAATCGCACAACCTGTCATTGCACCAAACATTGCAAAACCTACAGAAAACTGGGGTTTCAACACATGATTACTACTACCGCCACTATTACAAGGTAAATGAGCGATAGTTGCTTCACATTATGAAGGTTATGAAACATAAGTTACGTCAGTGCGCACTCCTAAAATTGAGAAATACTGCGATTTTTCCCACGAATTTTGCCTGTCTCGGCAAAAAAGACAAGTTTCAGAAGTAGGAGAAAAAGTTGCATTGACTGGTGACCGAAGTGTCTAACATCTTATATTCTACGAGGTTAACATGCGCTTAATGTAAAATTTGGATACTCTAAAAAATAAATCGTAGAAATGCTGAAAGACAGGCCTTAGAGCTACAAAAATTGCTTCTGTTGGCAAAAGGTTTGGATATCTGCTGGTTGTTAGGGCTCCTCGAAAGTCTCATACAAAAACTTTTAGAATTAGCGAAATTTAGACATGGTAAAAACGAGTGGTTGTAATTTTCAGCAAACATCTCGTCACTCTCGCAACGAAACACAGTGTGAGTTTAGCTGCTGGAAAGAGGAAGAAGTTCTGCATTGGGCACATTTTGAAGTGTTTGTTAATCTTCATTCTAGCGTGTTTGCCGATGAATTGAAAAAACCGAGAAAACTTTCGGACCGACCTAATATATAGTATTTCGCTTGTTACCATTTATAAATTGACTTACTATTATAAGCCAAGCTTAAAAATGAATTATGTGCATCGAAAACGATTTCAATTGAAGATTACGCTCTACAACTTCAAACGAGAGAAATCTCAACGATACTGCAAATGTGTTCATCAGAACTGGCCAGACTCGATCAAAACATGCAGCGGAGTCTTTGCCTCGGAGAGATTCTCGATAATTTGAGTATCTCCGAGTTGGAGAAAGCTCAAGAAGTTAGTGCATCATTTATGTGGAAGAAAGTTTTTCTGATCATGATTATGAGGTTCTGGGTTATTAAGTGATTTTTTAACTCTTGTCGATGTGCATCTCAAAACGACAAGGGAGCTTTTCTTACAATCTACAAATCTCTCTGACGGATACGCACTGTTGCTGAAATGATCTCTAGTCACATCCTATGACACTGACACATAACAGAAGTATTAGCAGTTTCAGAAGAAGTAATTCGTCATAATCAGCGAAGCGTATTGGTGTTTTCGAGTCCCTTTCAAAATTGTACTATTTCTGAGAAGAAGATGCTAACTAACAAATTTGAGGCGAAGCTAATTAACTGACTCGCTCATCAAAGGTTATTTTCTGTTCTAAACGGCATTTGTCTCTTCTCGGTAAAACCTCTCTCGGACCTATCATTTCAAAATTTCAAACAGGGGTGACGGCGGGCAGCCTGCAGAAAATTTTTTTTACAAATCCTCGTTTTTAAATGATTTTGATTATTTTATGTATATTTGAGTAAAAACGAGTCATGTACACCACCTCATGACTTAGGTGCATGCCTGGAAAATTTCTCGAGACTATTTATTTACTGTATTATTGTACTAGTGAAAGTTCTTGGGTTTAGGGTGAAATCCAATTTTGGGGAGATAGAAAATTTAATGGGAATATGTTCTCCACCGTCCGAAGATTTTGAAGCGATGTAAGTAACATATTAGTCCAAAAGTTTTGTCAGTTTTTTTAATCCATCGGCAAACACGCTAGAATGAAGATAAACAAAAGCTTCAAATTGCGCTTGATGCAGAATTTCTTCCTCTTTCCGGCTGCTAAACTCCCATTGTGTTTCTTGAGAGAGTGATGAGATATCTGCTGGAAATTACAACCACTCGTTTTTAGCATGTCCAACTTTCGCTAATTTTAAAATTTTTGTATAAAACTTTCGGAGGAGCTCTAATAACCAGCAGATAAAGCAAACCTTTTGCCAACTAATGCAACTTTTTGCTTTTTTTCAAATGCTTTTTCAAATTTTTCCCAAATAATCTTTCAAAAGTCTTATGTTTGAAAGATCGCGTAACCTATTGTTGCACCAAACACTGCAAAAAGTACAGAATAGTGAGGTTTCAACACTCGATCATTACTACAGCTACCATTACAAAACGAATGAGCGATTTTTGCCTCAAAACATGGAGATTTTGAAACATAGGTTACATCAGTGCGCACTCCTGAAATTGAGAAATACTGCGATTTTTTCCACAAATTTCGCCTGTCACGCCAAGAAAAGACAAGTGGTGGAAAAAGGAGAAAAAGTTGCATCGACTGGTGATCGAAGTGTTCAACACCTTATGTTCTACGAGGTTAACATGGGCTGAATGTAAAATTTGGATCTCTAAAAAATAAATCGTAGAAATGCTGAAAGACAGGCCTTAGAGCTACAAAAATTGCTTCTGTTGGCAAAAGGTTTGGATATCTGCTGGTTGTTAGGGCTCCTCGAAAGTCTCATACAAAAACTTTTAGAATTAGCGAAAGTTGGGCATGCTAAAAACGAGTGGTTGTAATTTCCAGCAAATATTTCATCACTCTCTCTCAGAGAAACACGATGGGAGTTCAGCAGCTGGAAAGAGGAAGAAATTTTGCATTGGACACATTTTGGAGCGTTTGTTTATCTTCATTCTAGCGTGTTTGCCGATGGATTGAATAAAACTGACAAAACTTTCGGACCAACCTGATATTATATATTTTTCATATTTTTCGCTTTTGATCGCTGTGCTTTCACCAAATATTACTTAGAGCTAAGAAGACGAATCAGGCTCAAAACAGTTCTATGGAATCTACAGGCTAAGGCTATCGATTCATATAAATACTGTCCGCTAAAATTTTTTTTTGATATAGTTAATGGGGTGCGGCACAATCCCTTAAAGGCAGTGTCCAGGCTAAACCTAACCCCCTCCGATTAGTGTAGGTCCTGAATGAAGGCCCCAGAAAAGGGGCATCTGCGTTGGTCCGGTCTTCTAACGTTGTCTCTGAATGGAGATAAGGGGCCTGAAAGTCCCTGGCTAGGCGGAGTCTGATATCAGACTCCGCCCATCAGGGACTGCTCACTACCTTGTCAATACGTGCCGACACGTATTGACAAGGTAGTGAGCAGAAGCTGCACACTGCACACTGCAATGCAACTGCACCCATGCAGTTGCAGCTCCTTCCCGCTGGCCTGCCGACGGCGACGAGCAATTCGAAACTCGTCCGCGCCCTCAAGACTGGGTCCCCAAGAATCGGGTTTTTTGTGAATTTTAGAGAGATTGAAGTCGGAACTGTAATCAGGGTCACGGAAAGGCCCCAGAATGACAAAAACATGGGAGGCCAATTTCTGGGTGGGCGCTGCCTTTAAAAGCAGCGGCCGTCGCAGCTTTTAAGGGGATGTGCCGCACCCCATAAACTATGTCAAAAAAGCGTTTTTAGCGGACATTATTATATGAATCGATAGCACAAATCCCATAGATTTCACATAAATGATTTGAGCCTGATTCCTCTTTTTAGCTTTGAGTAATATTTGGTGAAACACAGCGATCAAAAGCGAAAAATGGGAAAAACGAGAATTTGGTTGGCTTCTAATTCCATAGTTTGCAAGTGTTCTGAAGCGGGATTCCTGTAGTGGACAAAGAAGGAGTAGTGTTTTGTCTTGCGCGCAAAAACGGATTACCTTTGAAACAAAGTTATCCATGTTGGAATTTGACCATTTCACTTAGGTAGCCTAGTATCTTGAATCTTCAGAATTCGCTCACACTTTGTCTACAGGGGTTAATTGACATGCTAATTATGGATATGATACGAATATCATGATATCACTATTATCACAATACCCAACTACGACCCCCTCCCCTTTTCACTTCTCAATACAACCCCCCAGGTGTGGCGTGCCGCACCCCAAGCTTGACCCTGCTCATTGCGCATTTTCGCACAGTTGAGTTCAACCGCGAAATGTCGTTCTTTATTATCACAACAATCAACGATACCACCACGTTTCCGTATAATGTCGTTCTTTATTATCACAACAATCAACGATACCACCACGTTTCCGTATAACAATCCTCTTTATCCTACGACAACAGAAGTTTTTACCATAATTATGTAGAAAAATCGTTTTCCATCATTTTGGCACAGCACACGATGCAGGGAAACCATAAAAGTTTGAATCTAGCAAATGAGCCAGGAGTGAAAAAACCGCTATTCACAGAGAATTTTGCCGCAATTTGCACTGGGTGCTCTACCACTCGAATTTGCTGAAGCGCAGGGACCTTTAGAACCCAGCTGTGATTCTCTGGAAATTGTTTTAGATGGAATGAAGCACTGCAGCTTTCAAAAGCACATACCTCGTACCTGAGTAGTCGCGGTTCTTCAGCTTTTGGGTTAGAATTTCGTGAAAACTGCAGTAACGATAAAGGTCTTATTCCCCGCTTTTCTCCAAACGTTGTGACTACTGAGCTGTAAAATTTTTTTCAAACAGTTTTTTTGTGTTTGTTTATATAATAGAATGTTGAAGCTCTGTCAACATCTATCTCAAAAGCATTCGTCGAACCAGTGCTTGGGTGGAAGATTCTCATTCCTTATTTCTTATTTGAGTTTCGGTCAGAAATAAGGGTGTCGTTCTACATGTAGCAACATGACACCACCATAAATCGAAAAATGCTTGCTGTGATGTGTACTGTGATGATCACACACAAAACGAACAATTCCGGATTATTTTGCGGTTAGGCTTTTTGGAGGACTGAGATAAAAAGCGGTAAAATTGACAGATGCCTTCATGACCCATTATGCTTCAAATTTCTGCCACCCTGATTTTGTATAATTCTCTCGAAAGCTTTCATAAATCTTTTTACTTGTACGTAACTCAAGTACGTGTCTCATAAGAGTCACCGTTAAGGCAATCATTGCGGGTGTCAGGCAAGACATGCACGGACTTCTCGCACTCCGCTCTAGCGAAAATTCTAAACCGCCAACGAACATCTGCCCCATTTCTCAGCCGATCATTGTGAGTATCAAGAGATTTGCAGATAAGCGAATACCAGTAAAGCCCAATCGCTGATCTTTTGCGCTTGCTGGTATTCAGAGAAACGCAGGTCTGGTAGATGAACACTCAAAGTACAACTGCTGCCTTTGTAACAGTTTCCAACAGTCTAGCTATAGCGCAGCTGTCGCCTGCTTGCAGATTTGCAAAACGATTGTTTTTAAAAAAGGAAACTAAATTTTATTTTGAATCTGTTCTTCAATCACCCAATCACTGAAGACTCGGCGAAACATAACGCTGTTTATGAAGTTGACCTTTATTGATCAAATCAAGAGCGCTTATCGACAGTACTCACACTCTCACAAACATTTGGCAAGGTCTAAGAAATTCTATAGGGCTTATCAATTAAAGTGTTGGGGGCACCAGCATCTCCACTCTCGCGCTGTACTCTGCGTCTCTTCGGCAAACATGCTCTCTAATCACTTCCAATCGACTGAGGCGCCTTTCCCACGCTCGCCTTGGGAAAGTGTTCAAAAAGTATGTCCGCGGAAGACGCAAAGTTCAGCATGGGAATGGAAGTGCTGATGCACCCAGACTTCAACTGATAAGTCCTGTTTTCGCCTGTCTGCACAGCTTAGGATGCTCAAGGGCACCCTGAAGATTTCAACAAAATGTCCTAAAATCTCAAAAAAGCCCGTGTTCGCGATCGCCTATTCTGGTGAGTATGGGCTTGGATAAACGCCAAAGGTAGGTGGTTCGCGTTTTGAAAAACGAAAAACGCAAAGTTTGCTGGTTTCTTTGATTTCGCGGTCTACTTGCACGAATTTTGGGAAATGCTGGCCTCATTTTCGATAAACACGCAAGTGCTGCTACTCCAACGCCCCACATAGCACAGCTGCAGCGCACTTACCCTCCCAAATATGTCTGCCGAACGGTCTTCTGCAAACGCCGTGCGGTCTTTTGTCGAACCGCTCTGCCCTATCTTCCGTCTGGAAAACCTAAGGTGATTGGATCAGCAACGTCTTTCTTTGCCGTTCGGAGTACTAAATTTAGTCGCATACCGCGAGACTATTGGATTGGCCCAAAATTTCTTTCGCCGCACTCTCAAAAAATCGTGACTTCTTCGTATCGACTTGAAAAGCGGGTGAAGAGGGACGTATAGGAGCGTTCGAGAGAAGCTTAACTTGAATATGCAGTATTTTCAAAAAATCATGACTTCTTCGTATTTTGATGGATTTCTTTGAAAGTAGTTCTAAATGAAAGCACGATCAAGCTCTCTACAGCACTAAGCTTCCGGTGAGATATTAGGTCGTTCGAAATTGATGTCTTTTTTTTAAATAAATGCCAGTTGTGGAACAAAGACTTCCAAGTCTTGGCAGCATTACATGTAACATTTCATCCGCTTTATAACGATTATGAAATCGTTGCAGCACAGTCAATAAACTCTTGGAAAATTTCCAGGATCTGCGATCCATCACCCTCCGAAAGTCTAAGTAATGATCCAATTAAGCAAGCCTTAGAGGATGCAGTACATCTTTTTTTCTTTTTCATAGTTCGCCGTGATTTTTTGAAAATTTTTTTGATGCGCCATCGGATTTTGCAGACCTACGTCAGCCACGATGCATCAAACACCAACAATTCTTCGGAATTTGCAACTTCCGAGATGGTACCATGATTAAGCACTATTTGCAAAGCAAGTGAGAGTTTACGGATTTGAAATATCAACTTTCAAGTTTCGGGTGTACCCTGAGGCGCGTTCAAAAACATGAGTTATGATGGTTTTGTCCCCTAAGACTGCACGAATTGGAAACAAAAACATCCTTTGGAAAGAGGAGAAAAAACTGCATGGAAGAGCAACCGAGCTGCCCATTGATGTTCTATGAGGTTTGGTTGACCAAGTACGGAATTTGGAAGCACCACCTAGAATTCTATCAAAAAGTATGATAAGTTATATAATGAGAGAATTGTTTTGCATCCTTTAGGGCTTACTTTTTAAATAGTTATTTGGACTCCTTTGGAAGACGGAAGCTTGAAAAAAATGTGAAACTCGACCATCTCAGAAAGCATGGGTTGCAGATCTTGGTATTTTTTCAAGAGTCGCTGACTGTGACGCAAAGATTTTACACTTGTTGGAAAGATGACGCAATGTCGCATCGAGTGTTACCAAGATCTCTTCAGATATTTGTTCTACGAAATGTGGCGTTTATTTGAAAAAGGGGATATTATTTTCGGAAGGACCCTAATCGTATGAGAAAATTCGAGAGATAGAAGCAGTTGAACTAATTACTCAACATTTTCCAGCAGAGTCACAAGAACTTCGGCAAGTATTTTTGTTTGAAAGAGATAATTTTGCACATTACTGTTGTACTTTTGGTGTAGATCTATATCACGTATTGAGAGCTCTGAGAGAATTAGAATTAAGAAAGAGAAAATCTTCAGTTTTCAGTTTTGCAATTTTTGAGCATGCTCAAAAGACTTCAAACGTACAGCAGAGACTGAAACTGTCATGAACATGGATTTTAAGAGCTCTTCCTAGCTGAGCGAAAACTCGTGCCAATTGAGAGCGAATTTCATTTTAGTAAGATTTTCGGTTCGTTACTGCGTTTTTCTGAATCTTCGGTTTTCGTGTCTGCGTTTTCCTCGAAAACCAAAGTCGCCTTTAATTGGCACAAAGATCGTTCGTTCATCTAACAAACAGAGTTCATAAAACCCATGTTTGTAAAAGGTTCAGTCTCTGCTGTGACGTTTTAGGTTTTTGAGCATGCTCAAAAATTGCGAGATTGAAGTAATTCTCTTCATTTGCATAATTCGAACTATCACATACTGGTTCATGCAAAGGTCCCACTTATGTCCAAAATTTCCTTTTTTTAACGGAAAAACTTGCACAAATTACGTGACCCTGCTTGAAAAATGCCGACCTTGAGTAATTTAGTTCGCTGGTTCTATCTCTCAAATTCTCTCACACTAATCCAGCAGCTTACTGCTGTAAAAGCTTGATCGTGCTTTTGTATAAAGTTACTTTCAAAGAAATCCATCAAGATACGAAGAATTCATGATTTTTTAGAAATGCTGCATCTTTGAGGTAAGCTTCTCTTAAACGCTCATGTGCGTCCCTCTTCATTCGCTTTCCAAATCGTCACCACCTTCTATTTCTACTGCCAATCGCTACATGGAAACCTTTTTGCGGGAACTTGCGAAGCGCAGTTCAAGTACAGTTATAGAAGAGTAGCTATAAGGAAGAAATTCGGACTCGTAGAAGCCTAGGCGCGACTATTCGTAAAGTATAAAAAATTCGGCGTCTTAAATACCCTCTGCGGGCAAGCGCCGAATGCACTAATGCGTACTTCATAGTCGAAGGGCAATTGTATGCGTGTATGCCTTTACAATGACTTGCGGGGACCAACCGATAACCAGGTCAGTGCTTTGATCCTCCCAGAATTACTATGGTACCAATTCACCGTCTCCAGAGGGACGTATCGTATTTGGTGTGATATCCTTGTTGTGAAGTGTAAACGAGTCAATTGCGCGCTCGTGCATCTTGCCTCTTGAGCCTGCGCCTTTGAGGCAAATCGTGCAAAAGCAATCGTCAAGAGGCAGAATATGCGGGTTCCTCAGCGCATATAAAAGTATTGGGTTGTTTCAAAAGTTCTACCCGTTTTCGACTTTGATTCACCGTAACTCTTCTCAGAAATAATCCTCACAATTGGTATGAAACGTATTACAATCTGCAAATCTTTGGCTATTCTGCGCATTCTTTAAGATCATTGCAGTAACAGTGAAGAAGATTTTATAGGCGGAAATTGAGGAACATTTCTACGTGGAAACCTTCACTTTGCAAAAGCATAACTTGATTTGGAATATAACACGCACTACTCACAGTGTAGCCCATAATCGACTGAGCAGTGCCGCTAACTTTGGACTTCATCAAACTCTTCCATATTAATTTTGTGCTAAAAAATTCGAAAGGACCCAATTATTTTGCTCTTTCTAAGGCGGCAGAAAATGCAAATTTTTGACATTTTTGATTTTGTTCGCCGTTGACAAACCAGGAAATCTTTTCGTTGTTCTAGAAGCAGTTGTTCTAGATCTAATCTCACTATATAGAGTAAAAGTTCCGCAAGTGCAATATGTTTATGATTTTTATGCGGCTTGAAGGGACCGTAACAGATTATGTTTGAGCTAAAAATTTGTAGGTTCAAAATTTTTCTGAAATCATATCTCGATGAGCGTTTCGTAGCACAAGTTTCCAAAACATTATGTATGTTTTAAAAGAAATTCTTTTTTTGTCCGTAAAATTCAAAACGATAGAGCAAAGAAAAAAATTTTCACATTTGTTTCGCTGTCTTTTCAAAGTACGCAACCACACACGAACAAAGATCTATGAAAAGAAAATATACCCGAAAAACTAGAAGAAAAGAGCTTTTGAATGGTGTAAGCACTGTTTAGAAAAGTGGTTTCTTCCTCCAAAATCGGCAGTTCAAAAAAAGGTATCGAAAACGGAACTTTTGAAACAACCCAATATATTAGATTGTTCCGAAAGTTTTGTCGGTTTCTTTCATCGCTCACTAAAACCCACAGAACACCAATCCATGGATAATCTAGGTAAACTTAATTTAGATTTTAATCCTCTTTCTTACGACTATATTTGCTCTCTGATCTACCCTGTCTTTGCGATATTATCGCCATGGCTTTTTGAGCAGCTTTACAGTAACACCAAATCTTTCCTGAATTTAATTTTTTTCCTGCTGTTTTCAAAGAGCGCTAATAACTATTACGTAGAGCAAACCTTCGGCTACATTGTGCTTATTAGATTATATGGACCACGATTATCAAGTCCTTAATAATTATCAATCTAAGAAAAAGCGCTGCTTTTTGATTACGTCTACCACGTAAAATTACCAAAAATTCCAAAAAGCTGATTTTTCAGAGCGAATTAAAAGTGGTTATGTTGCATAAATAATGTTTATTAGCAATCGAGTTTCAATTCGCAGAACTTTCAACAAATTTCATGTTTTTGCTGTAGTTGCGTGTCTTGACGCTTTGCCAGAAACCGAGACTTCGAAGAAATAATATTTTAAAGCTAAAAACAGCAGGTTAGGAGAGACTAAAAACATAACCGTATAGTCCGAGAATTGTTCTATTTGCAACATACTTTACTCTTTCTAAAATGGAATGAAATATTTAAAAATTAGCCCAAGTTTGAGCAACTAAAAATGACGGGTGAAGAATAGTGGCATTTATCAAAAAAAAAACACAGGTTTGTGGCTTGAAAATGTAACATCGAGAAAGCGAAGGACAAGCTACATCGTATGCGCATTGAAGCTCGTTTAGGTCTTTATTGTGCGTGGTTTTGTAGCGGTTTGAAAAAACCGACAAAACTTTCGGGACAACCTAGTATTTGCAATTCGACCTTGCTTCATCAGGCGCTCCAGCATGAGATTTGCACTCGTACCGAGCCATGTATCAATGTATTACACGCGCTCACTTCTCATGTTATAAGGTGGCGAAATGGCATACCTGCTCTTAATAGAATTAATCTTATTGCGCAGATAACGTATCACAGGTGACCGAACATTTTCGTTGAGAATTACAAGCAGGATAAAGATGAAGACACCCTGTAAACATTTAAGTTATGCATGGGTACATAAAAAAGTTGTTCAAAGTCTAATCATATTTAGCACACTTCCAACTTTAAAATACAACTTGCGGAAAGGAATTTTTTTGCAAAGAAACCCTGGCTGTCAAACTAAGCCAGCCACCACGTTTACCAGTGTTATAACCCCAACCTCACATTTTTGTGACCGAGAAATTTTTGAAACTAGCCCATATGAGTTACAAATTCGCGCGACTAACTTGTTTTCACCTGTAAACGTTAGGTTGGCAATTGAGTTTTGCAACATATAATAGTACATTCCTATGACATTTTTCAGCACTTTTCCGTTATCCGGACTCATTTTTTGTAAAAGAAATATTGGTTCTACCTGCCAAATATTTAGTTCCATCTTCATCAAAAGAAATGTCAACTCCACGTCACGTGTCAAGAAAAATTGACGTGCCGTTTATATGTTCACAACTTCTAGCAGGAGTTTTGTGTCGCCTACATGAAAATGTAAATTTATCCTGTTTTCTCATCAAAATCCCCTAGTTCAATAATTCTGGAAATGTAAACTAAAAAGTAATGATCCTGCCCTAATAAAGGAAGGATACTGACATAAGTTGGCGACTGAAGACGAGATAGATTCCAAACGCTTTCCTTTTCTGCAAGGCAACTTTTCCGAGAAAGTTATGAGCATTTGAATGTCCGAATTTGTCAAACTGTAAGTGGCCAAATGAGCGAAAAGCTGTATAAGAACTACTAAAAGTGAGTAAACAATTTTATATTGATTATATAGATTACCAGGAAGGAATATAGCCTGTGAAATTCCGCGCATTTGTTTTTAGAGCTTTTTCCTAATTATAAGCCTCTTAATGTTCGATAGGGAAACATGTGGTTTAGTGGTACCGGGCGTCGCTATGACGAAATCGGATGCAGCTTCGATCTCCGCCTCTGGGCCAACCAAGATCTCCACACTCCGAGGCCGGGAAATGGTACCAGAGAAACCTGGGAGGTGTTAATAAAGCTCAATATTCAATACCACTCCCCTTAACTTTTCAGAAGCAAAATTGTCTGCTATTATATAATCTATATAAGATCCCCTTGTTTTTCCAAGCATTACATCGTAGCTTTACTCTCTATTGCTCTACACCCATTTATGTCAGCGAATGTCCGCTCAAACAAATGCCCTATTTTTTTAAATCAGCATCACCATTTCCCTCTCTATGGAGAAAACATCCGTAGCTCAACATCTGTTAAGAAACCTACATATCAAACTAACTTGGCAAGTGAAAATCGCCCCTGCTTGTCAGTGAAGGCTGCAAAAGCAGGAAATTGACAATGATAAGCATGAAGACGATTTTTGACGATTTTTTATGCGTTAGCACCCGTTCACCTGCCATAGGAGAAATGAATTCGTCTAGAATCTCCAGGATTTTGGCGTAAAATTGCAAAAAATAAAATAACATTGTGAAGATGGTCACATAGTCAGTTGCATATAAACGGGTACTGAGTGGTGGAAGTATCATTAATTTCATGGTCTTAGTGAATGACTGGTCTTGAAATTCTCGCATTGATCCAACGCCTCAGTTTCCAAGAAAAAGACGGCTGTGTGCTCGGTCATCAGATCAAAAGTGGTGGTCCTCACCATTTACGAAAACAGCACGACCGAGCTCGTTGATTGCCAGTAGATGATGACGTCACCACTGGCGGCGGCTGGGGTGGAGGGGAGGGGGGGGGGGAGTAAGGTGATGAGTCATCAGTTTACGACTTCTTGGCTTCAGACATACGCGGCGAGGTTAGGGGGGGGGGGGGAGAGGGGAACACACTCGTGCGCTTTATTATATCTTTAAATGCTTGACAATTTTGGACATTCAAGCGTTCATAACTTCTTTCGAGAGTTGTTCTGTGCAAAAGAAAAGCAGATTTGAAAACAAGGTTTAGAGACGCGTCTAGTGATATACATAACTCCCTCAATCGCCAATCTATGTTTGTACTATCTCCTTTGTAAGGTAAACGTATAGTTGCAGAGAGGGACGAGTATCAGGGTTCCAGCATTATTCTAAAAATGTCGGCAGCGGGATACTTCTCGCCATCACTTCAACTCTTTCCTGGCAAAAATCGCGCTCCGGGAGCAGTTTGAGAAGCAGTTTTGAAATGCTGAATTGCGATGTTCTAAGAAAGATTTTACTCTGCTTTGCTTTAAAAAAATAGCAGAACAGCTTTTGAGTCATCCAAAATGCTTTTCATCTCACCGGAAATGATTCAGAAAATGTGAGACATCATGGGTGTTGATTTTCTTGCTGGCACGCGGCATTTAGAAGTTCTCGAAAAAATATGAAGATTTTCTTCCAAACTAAAGTTCCATGGAGACTTTTCGAGTAAATGGGTTCGGAACAAATGTGTACGCATTACTCTTCTGCTTAAACTTTAATTCAGCATAAACAGTGATATGGGTTACAATTATGCACAAATTGTTTGTATTTGAATAACGATATAGGAGTTTACGTATTTTCCAAACTGGTAAAAACAAGGTTTTACGGTTTAAAAAAAAATGAAGATCGCACAACTCAAATCAAATAGAGTCGAACTATCGATAACATGCTGGCAAACGCTGAATGTTAAGCTCGAGGAAAAGAAAAATTTGCTGGATAAAAACAAATCAAACCCTGGCGCCATCGAAAATTAGAGTCGAATGCGTTTACGATCCTCAAAAATCCGTCATTGGGGTCAAACCGTTCTTTACTTGTAAATGTAAATGTGTAGATAGCATTGACACTGATGCCTGTTCTTGCTTTGTACTTGTTACATTCTCTCACAATTTTTTTTTGATTTTGCCAAACTATCGCCTTCCTAACTCTGTCCTTTGATTAATGCAAACTTGGGTTATCACTAACATTATCATCATGTACGCATATATAAAAGTCAAAGTGTATAAGTCTGTGTGAATTATTGTTCGAATATTTTTTAAATGGACCTATGAGGCTGAAATTCTTTTCCCTATAAACAAGCCATGGCGCAGGTCATAGACTAATTTCGTGGCGAATCACTGAGTCCATCTATCGAAAATTGATTTGGCTACAATCATCTAAGCAGAATGAAGCTTATCGGTTGAATCATTTCCCCAAGTCAAGAGGAAGGGGCGGTAACGGTCATTTACATTCTGCGGTGAGGAGGACGCGGTGTCACGAAGCAAGATGGCCAAAAAGGAGGACAATTACAACGATGAGGAACACAGTGACTCCACAGGAGCGCTGCTCAGTTCGGAACACAAGCAAGAAGAAAGAAGAGAGATTGCTGTGAGGGAATCAACAGAGCAAAATGAAGAAAGGAGAGGAACGGTAAGCCATAAGGTGCTTTGGATCACACATCATACTAAGCCAATTTGGACTCCGATCCTGGCGGGATCGGGGAAGCAAGCTAGTTTCATCATATTCTGCAGTACAAAGCAAGTTTTACGATATGTACCAGTTAATTGCGAGTTTCGCTTCTCAAACTCGGATTCTCTTTCTGCTACTTGAGGAGGCACTATAGATGATGAGGAGCCGCCATACGCATCATCGCAAAACACGACAGAGCTGCGACTTGAACTTCAGTTGCAAGGCGCACGCAACCGACTACTAAACCACTTGTCCAAGGATCCACTTTTTATGGATTTGCCGCTATGAACTAATGAAAAAAAATCAAGATCTAACTCATACGTCAAGACACGTTGAGAGGCGTTAGGTGGCTGGCATAAAGTTTCCTACATTCTTGAGGTAGTAGTAAGATGAAACATGGACATAAACAGGGTCGAGCAAGAGGTTTTCGTCTGGCAACCGCCGAATACGACCCGCTCCCCCCATCTCGATACCCTGTCCTCCTCCTCCCCCAACATTTTCGTTTCCTACAGTAGGCATAACATAAAGGCTCTGACAAGCATGATCAGTAATATATTCGTAATTATCATCTATGACCTATGACTTAATAACGGGCTAAGGGTTGTTTACGAATTCATAGAGCGAGTTCCAGCAAATGTTTTGAGCTGAAATTTTGGCCATAGCACCTCGCCAGCATCTCGGCCCATCGTGCAAATCGTACGGATTCGTTGCGATGATGCGACAGAAATTGTGCGTGAAATGGATCCACATGGCTCTAAGCCAAAAAACCAAGTCCAGATTTGGATTTTTGCAAGGCCATTGTTGCCTGACAAGTAAATCTGCACCTCATGAATTCTAGCCCAAAAAGTGCTCAAAAAGTTTGCTTCTGCGAAAACAGCGCCAAAAAGTGGTGATCGCGTAAATGGTAGATTTGGCAAGGTTGTAATGTGAAATTTGAAAAGATTTTTGCCCGGAAGTGTAGCCCAGAGTGATTATTACCCCTATGACGAGTACCAAGCCAAAACAAATTCGGTAATCCAGTCAAATTCGCAAGTGTTCCTTCGCGAAAAAGATTTCTTTCTTAAAATTACTGTTTTTAAGTGGAGATGCTCTACGATTAGCAGTTGTTTACTATTCATTTGTGATGTTCAGCATTGCGTGATAAGTTTCAAAATCATCATTATGCGAACATGAGAAGAAATACGGATAGGAATGCCAGTGCGAACCTCGCGAAGCGGAGGTGCACTAGTTTTGCATCAAGTTTTAGCAAACTCGGACGGTTCCCAAATTGAGCCACCTAAGTGGAATCGCTATTATCATACATGGTCAATTATATTTTAATAGTGAATTAGCTCCCTCTTTCTATACTCAACGCAAAGCGCTACTCTATGTTCGCCTACACAACGGATTCTGTTTCAAATAACCATTAAACTATGAATTAGGAGCTAGCCAAAATTTTGTTTGTCGATTTTCCGTTAACAGTGATTGTGCTTCCAACGACTACTTCTCAAACGAAAGAAGATAGACTGAGCATTAATCACTTCCACAAAAACTGCGAGATTTTGACTATCGAACTCTATATATAAGTTCCCTAATATTCGTTTTGAAGGTAAGTTAATAGGATTGTCAACCGAGAAAGGCTGTGGCTGCCACACCTTTTCAG